TGCCTGCAGGTCCAGTAATGTCCTATTATGACAGGTCCTAAATGGGGTGGGGGGGTTTGCCGGGGTGCCGTCAGCCCGCTTTGGTTTTGTGGGGAGGCCTTTCTCACCCTCTGTCCCCACTCCAGCCCCCATGCCCCTGCCCATCTCCCTTTGCTGCGACCCCCCCAGAGCTGTGGGGTGCCACTGAGCCCAAAGATCACACCGAGGAACCTGGAGGGGGACAATGCTGGGATGGCACTGGGAAGAGACGAAGCATCGCTCTGCATTCCCCACCCACCCATCCTGCGTGGCCTTGATCCTCCAGGATCTGGGCCGCCTTTGTGGCTCTGCATTCCTTCCAAGCTGGGGAGCCACTCCATTAAAATCCTTTACCTGCAGGCCCAGCGTGGCCAGTGGATGTGCTGCTCCAGGAGGGTGCTGTGCTCCGGTTCTGGGGGCTGCAGAGATGGTGAGGCTTTGTCCCCCACCCTGCGCTGTCCCATCTCCATCCAGGCAGCAGCTGCAGAGGGGCAGAGCTCCGTGTGCCCCAAATCGAGTGGCTGTGGACCTTGCAGCCCCAGGGTCTGTTTGCTGGAGAAGAAACAGGCTGTCTGGTTTTGGGGTCCCCGTCCCGCAGTGGTGTGGGAGCAGCTCCATGGGACTGGATCACAGACCTGAGGGACAGGGGCTCATTCTCTGTCTTCCTTGGTCGTGGTGATACTGGGGGTGGGAGGATCGTCTCCTGTCGGATCCCTATGGCCTCGTAGGAACACGGAGCAGCGCCAGGAGGGCTCTGGGGCTGAGCACTGCGTGTCCCTGCAGCCACCCGATGGGACAGACCAGGACCCCTGTCCGTTTCACGCCCTTTAATAGAGATGGTTCGAGCCCCGGGCAGGGATGAGGGGCTGGGATCCCTCAGCACGGTGCTGTGCGGCCCCTCCTCGCTTCCCGTCTCAACAAACCGGGGCCGAACTGAGCATCGGGAAGGGAGTTGTTGGCGAGCCCCCTCCTCCCCGCGTCGGTGCATCCTTCCTCAACACCCTCTCGGTTGTTTTGCACAAACCCTGAAATATTCATGGCACTGCGCCGAGTGTCTCTTAATGAATTTTTAATCAAAACCTTATCAGGGAGCCAAAATACACCGCTCCACCACCCCAAACTCCAGCCGAAATCGAGGGGGTACCGGGCCCGCCGGTACCGTGCCGCTGAAGGAGTCGGGCCCGGCCCGAGGGCGGCGGCACCGGGAGCTTTGGGCAGAGCCGCACCGCGCCGTCGGGTCTGGAGGCAGAGACACGGCTTGGGGTCCCCCGACGGGAAGGCCCGGCCCTGCTTCGTGCTGCCCCGCATCGGGCCGCCCTGGCCCTGCACGGTCCCGTCCTGAAGGGTCGGGCGGTGGGGAACCGGGACAGCGCACCCCGCCTGGCCGCAGCCCCGCCGGGAGAAATATTCGTTGAGGGGGAAATAGAGAAGCTCAGCGCGTATGGGGGCAGCACGGAGCGGGCCCCGATCCGCACTAGATTTGGGGCTGCACATCCCGACGGGCCCGGCCCCGCTCCCCTCTCGGTGCCGTGCGGGTTTTGTTCCCCCCCAACCCCCGACACCCCCTGGACACCTTTGGGAGCACGGCCCGGTTGGGCGCTGCGCGGAGCCGCCGTTGCAGGCAGAGATTTTTAAAGCTCTCCGAAAATCCCGATGGGCAGAAGCGGGGTGGCCCTGCGCTTCGGAGCTCTGAGCTGCGGACACCCGATGAAGGGTTTCCTCGAATCTTATTTAACCGTATTTTTTTAATTAAAGATTTGTCGATTTCGCCTTTATTTCCACGGACGGCCGAGTCATCCGGTACCGGCTGCAAAGCGGGGTGCGAGCGCAGCGGGGGCACAGAGCTGACCCTCCCCCGCCCCTCTCCTCCTACTGCTGCAGCTCCTTTTTGGGGGGAGGGAGGCAGGATCCCCCCGCGCCCCCCACTCCTGCCCCGGCCACGCGGGGTTCCCCGAGCTCTCCCGGTCCCGCGGGGCGCGGAGCGGGGCAGGCGTGAGGGGGGGGGGGGGCGACTCAGCCCCCTTCTGTCCCTACGGGGCCGCATCGGTGGGCTCAGCATCATCGGTACGATTTTTTTACATATATAAAATCCCCGTTATTTTTAGGTTCCGCTCGCAGAGCCGCCCCCCGCGTTCCCAAACCCCGTGCATTCCCACCAGCGCAGGGCTAACCTATCCCGCTCCCGACGTGAGGACGTCATGCCTTACGTAGTAAAATATGGAGAAAGAGGAAAAAAAAAAAAAAAAAGGCAGCGCATTTTCCCTCCTCTCTCTCTCTCTCTCTCTCTCTCTCTCCCCCATCTCCATTTCCAAAAGGGACAAAATGGATGTTGGGGTTGGAATCCTCGCCCCAGGGCCCGGCCGAACTGCTCGGGCTGCCCGGGGCCCGGCACGCTGGAGCCGCGGGCAGACGTCTCTGTTTAACCCCACGTACAGACAACGTGATCGCGGGGGCTCCGCTTCCCGCAGCCCTTCTCCTGGCTGTCCGCTCCGGGAGCCGCAGCTCCGCACCGGGTGGATGTCGCCGGGCTCCGGTTCGCGCCCGCTGCCGGGGCCGCGTCCCCCCCCGTCCCCGCCCCGGAGGTGTCCCGGCGGCGAGCCTGCCGCTAAGTCCTTAAGGATGCGGATGTGCGGAGGGAGGTAAATACCCCCCCACTCCCCTATCGCTCCCTGCCCCGCTGCGAAATCCCCGGGGCGGCCTCAGGGACACGGGAACAAGGGGGACAGGGGGACACGAGATGGGGGGACACGGGGACAGGGCGCTGCGGGACCGAGAGCCGCCCGCCCCCTCCCCGCTTCTCCCAACTTGAAGGAAGTCTGCCAGGGGAACCCCGTGCCCCTCGACCTGGGCCTTTTTTATTATTATTATTTTTATTATTTTTTTCGGGGGGGGTTGGGGTCTTTTTTTTGCTTTTTTTCCCCCGGCTTAGAGGCTGCGGTCCCGCCAGTCCGGTGTGCGAGAGTCGAGATGGGGGCGAAGGCGCAAGGGGGGGGGGGGGGGGGGACGAGGCGTGGAAAGCTGCCCTCCCTCCGGCTCCCGCAGCGCCGGGAACAATGGCCACGGGCTCCGTGGGGACAATGCCCGGCGGAGCGGAGCTGCTTGGGTTGCAGGACACGTCCACCACCGCCTCGGCCACCCCGGGCCCCGCTCCCCCGGGGCTGTGGGAAAACGCGTGGCTGGTGGGGGGGGTGGCACCAAACTTGGGGAAAGTCCCCCCTCGGAGCCCGCCCCGACCCATCCCGGCTTTTGGGGCCGAGCCCGTCCCGGTTTGTGCCGCCAACACCGCCGAGGGCACCGGCGGGGCTCAACAGGTCGGTACCGGGCAGCCCAGGTGCCCGGCCCTCCGCTCGCTCTCGTCTCCCTTTTTCTCCACCCTCCTCCAACTCCCCCCACCCCCCCACCCCTCCCATCCCCACCCCCCCGCCGGCCTGCCCCCCTCCCCGAGCCCCCCTCATTATTTCTGTTATCACAAGGCAGCCTCCGTGCCCAAACGCCGGCATGTGCGAGGCAAACAGAGCGCGATTGTTCGGAGCCTGGGAACGCGCGGAGGGGGCGCGGAGGGGGCGCTGGGGCCGCCGCCCGCCGCCCCCCGCCCGGGCCGCTCAGACGCGATTGTGATGGAAATCGCCTTCCCGCATGCTGTTGAACTTGATGTTGACTCCTTTTCTTTGGGGCTCCACGTCTCCCCGGCCACTTGTTTGTGGGAAAATTTTCTCTCGGGCTCCAGTGTGAAATTAATTAATCAGGGCCTCGAGATGGCAATGGGACACAAAAGGGGACAGCCGGGGGAAACTCCGGCAAACTCACAAAAGCCACCCGGGGTTTATAGCCCCGGGCTGCCCGGACGGCGCTGCCCTGCCCGCCGCCCGAGGTAAGGGGCTGTCGGAGCGCGGTTGCGACGTCCGCAGCAATTTCGGGGGCTTCGGGGAAGGGCAGTGGGGCCGGGGGGGGTCGGAGCCGCGCCGGGCGGTGGTTGGGGTACCCCGGAGCAGTGTCTGAAGGCGGTCCGCGCTGTGAGCGTAGACGGCGGGGAAACCCCGACCAGAAGGGCCGGGACTGAATCGGGCTTCTATCGGAAGAAGGAAAAACATCCGTACATCTATTTTTTGTTGTTTCCTATCAAAAGAAAAGTAAGCGGGCTGCTGTCGTGCTGAAGTGCCCGGCTCTGACCCAGCGATCACCGCGGGGATTTCCGCGCTCCGTTGTTCCCCGATCGCGGAAATCTCCGCGGCCGCGGGGAAAGCGCTCAGAAGCCGCGTGAGATCCCGCGGTGCTGCGCGTTCCTCCGACGGGCTCAGGAGTGCCGCGAGGATAAACAGAAAATCAGATTTTCTTTCTTTTCTTCTTTCCTTCATTTCTATTATTTTTTTTTTTTAAAGCACTTTCCGGAGCGCAATATTATTGCTTTTAGAGAGACAGATCCGTGCAAAGCGTTCAGGGCTTAAGGGAAATATTTCCGCACGGGAGCAGGCCAAAAAGACGAGCGTCAAATAGCCTCGCAGTCTTTGTTGCCACCACATCTTCGGGTGACAGCGGCTGCAGAAGCAAAACCTCTTCGAGCCGCTGTTACATCCGTAGTTCCCGCACACATCGATATCAGCGGCCGATCGGGGAGGGTTGGGCCGGAGCTCCGGGCTCCCCGTTCCTGGGGTCCGTCCCCATCACCCCCCCGGCGGCAGTGCGGCCTCAATTGATCCGCGAAGCGACGTGCGGTGAACGAGTCGTTGTGTTTTTAAATGCAAATAATTCCCAGCGACAACAGCGGAATAAAAAAAAAAAAAAAGAAAAAAAGAAAAGGGGGCGGGAAAAGAAAAAGGAAAAAAATATATATATATTTCTGAGGAAAAAAAAAAAAACACAAATAAAGGGAAGAAAACCAAGTGAAAATCCGTTTCTGAGGGGCGCGGGTCGGGAGGGGAGCGGCGGCTGCTGACGGTTCCACGGAGCCGCGCAGCTTCGGTGCCCGCGGTGCGGGGGGAGCGGGCGCGGGGGGCGGTGCGGTGCCCGGTGCCCCCGGGGCTGCAGGCCCTGCGCTGCCGCTGCTCGGCACGGACGGCAGACGGAGGGCGGACAGACAGACAGACGCGGGGCTGCGCGTATCTCTGCGGCGGCGGAGGCCGCGTCCCGGCACAGCCGTTTCGGGGCACGGCACCCCGAGCTCTGCCCGCCGACAGGACGGGAGAACGGCTCCGGGTGCCGTTCCCGGCGAAAGGCATCCCCCCCCGCTCCGGGGAAGAGCTCGCTGCTACCGGGGGGCTCCGGCACCACCCCCGCTGCCGGCAAAGTTGCTCCAAGTTGGAGCCGTCGCGCTCTCCGCTTCGCCTCACGGATTCGCTTTTCTCTCTCTCTCTCCCTCCCAGGTGAGCTCGGCTGCAGCGCAGGACCCGCCCGCCCTACCAGGAGGTAATTTGCGGTTCTCCCATCCCCTCTCTCAGTGCAGCGCCGGGGCAGAGCCCTCACCCCGAAGGGCAGCGGTGATGCGGGACGGGACGGAGCGGGCAGCGCGATTCACTCGCGGCCGCCGGCCTTGGCGTTACCGGTACGGCTGCAAGTTACCGGGCTGCGGGGCGGAGAGGGGAGGCGGGAGAGGCCGGGCCGGGCCGGGCCGAGCCGAGCCGCGCTGCATCCCGCCTAGGCGGCTCCTGCGGCGAGAGCCGTGCTCGCACCGGAGCCCAACATGGCTGCTGTAGTGAAGGTATTTGATGCACACGAGAGTGTAGGCGAGGGTAGGGAAGGGGACGAAAGGCGCCGGGGCCGGTTCCGGTGCCAGCGGCCGCCGAGCGAGGAAAGGAGGAGGGCGAGCGATGGGTAAGTGGTGGGAAGGAGCGGAGTCGGGAGGGCCCCGTGCCCACCTCGCGTCTCGAACACGCGTGGAGCGGCCGCCCCGGCTCTGCCGAGCCTCCCCTCGGGGGTGCGGAGCGGAAGGGAGCGGGACCGAGCACTGGCGAGGCCGAACCGAGCCGCTGCGGCTCCCCTCGGCCCTGCGCGGAGGCTCCGGGCCCGCCGGCGGCGGAGGAACGGGGGAGGTTGAGCCCCGGCCCCGCCGGTGCCCGGTGCGGCCCTTCCAGAACCGAAACCGCTCCCGAAGCCGCGGGGCCGCTCCATGGTTCCCGTTCGTTCCCTCGGCGAAGCTTTTGGGGCCGCAGTCGTTGTGGCGGTTTGTGGTTTTTTTTTTGTCATTTCGGGAAGGAGCTTTTCAGAGGTGAGAACCCGGGCGGTGGGGATGGCAGTGGGGCCGAGACCCCAATCCCGGCAGTGGCGGCGTTTCGGAGCCAGGTGGTGGTGAAGTGAATGGCCCCGGCTCGGTGTGTCCGTGCCCACACGCGGTACGAGCCCACGGGAGGACCGGGGGCACGCGGGGGGACGATCCGTTAATTCGGCAACCGGCTGCCTCGGTGGCACCGTCTCCCACTCGGAACGGTTCGCCGTGCCGCCGCGCACCCGAGAGACGGGAAGGGCGGCGATGATAACGAGAATCATTAATAATCCTAATCCTAATCATGAACCGGTGCCGGTTTCAACAGCGAAGGACCGAGGAGGCACCAGCACCGCGCGGCGCCGGGGCCTCCGCCGCGGCCGTTCAGCACCACGGAGAGCGGCAGGGCCGGTGCCCGGTGCCGCCCGGATCTCCTTCCGTTCCCCGCCGGTCTCCAGCCGAGGGCTCCCGGAGCTCCGCCGTTCGAGGCACAAAGCCCCGCTCCTCCCGGTGAACTGCGGGTTGGCATCTCCGTGAGCCGCCGGCCTCCGTGCGCTGCTCCCGGCGCCTTCTGACACGGATATTTATATATGTGCCACACATACCGATATAGATATAATTTTTCTGTGTATGTACAAGGGTAGATGTGGACAGAGGGGTCGGGACGGGTTGGTGCACCTTTGGCTCTCTCCTGCCTCTCCAAAACACGGAGTGCTGTGAGCGGTACCCAGCCCCGGCCCGGCGATGCCTGCACCCACGGCCACGGCCCTGCGCTGGGCCCGGCCCGGCGGAGGCGGAGGAGAGCAGCGGGGCCGGGGCCGTGCCCGGCGGTTGGCGGAGCCGGTGCTGTGCCCGATGCTGTGCGGTGGTTTCGTTTTCCACCGTTTCTCCGGAGCCAGGCGTGATGCAGCGGCCGCGGAGTGTTGTGGATGTCGCCGAGGTGGGACAAAGCTGTGGGAGTGCGGGGAAGGCTGGGGAGAAGCCAGGTTTTCCTGAGCGTGTGTACGTGTGTACCAGCGGGCGTCCACGGGTGCGTTGTGCAAAACTGGGCGTGCATCAAGACGGGCGTGCACAGGGGTTTGTGTGCACAGGGGCGTGTGCAGCGGCTCGTGTCCAAGGCTGGGCGTGCAGCTGGCTCTTAGTGTGCAGCAGCGGTGCCCGGGCAACTCGGTGCTCGCATACGCGGGTCGTGGTCGTGCCCGTGCAACGCGCTTCGGGCTCCTTCGAAGGGACGCTGACCCGGAGCCGGCCCCAGGAACTGCCCCGCCGTGCCAGGAGAGAGGAGCGGGTACTCTGCTCCGGGCAGGGTCGGCCCCGGGCGGCCGCAGGGTGGGGACGTGGAGCCGAACCTCGGCCCCGCGAATTGGGCTCTGCCTCGGCTCCAAACAGAGCCGCGGCACCGCTTTGTCCCGGGTGCCGGGCGACCCAACCGGGCCAGAGGGCAGAGCCGGGCCCGGGCCCGTCTCGGGGGGAGGTCCTGTTACTCCCCGGCCCGAGGGTCGTGCCTGCTTTTGCTCCCGAGCTGCCGCCAATTTTCCCCTTTGCAATTGGAGCATAGCCCCGACGGGAGGGTCCGGCCGCCCCCTCCTCCTCCCCTTTCACGGCTCTTTCCCCGCCCCGGCCCTTCCCCGTCGGGTTTAACGCCCGGGGAGGGGCGGCCCCGTCGCAGCTCGGCCCGAGCGGGGTTAGCCCCGGGGCACCGCCGCCTCCCCGACGGGGCGGGCCGGCTGCGACCGGGAAGGGGGCGGTGGGGAAGGGGGGCGAGCAGACGGACCGGCCCCCGGGGGAAGCGGCGGCCGTGGCGAATGGCCCTGCCCCCGGGGGGTGACCCCTGCCCCGGCCCCACGCCCGGGCTGTCCCAGCCCCACCGCCCGGGCTTTGTCCCCGCCGGCCGCCCCGTCCCTCCTCCCGCCCTTCCCCGCCCTCCCTCCTCCGCCGGCTCTGCCTCAACTTTAGAGGCAGGTCCCGGAGGCTCCGACAGCGGGGCCGGGACCCGCAACGGCACCAGGCGGGGACTTTCAGCCTCCCCCTCGCCTTGCCAGCACGGGAAAGACGCCGAGATTTCCAGCCGACGGAGACCGCGGGCAGCACCGGCCCCAGCGGGGCTCTCAGGTACCCGCTCCCCATTCCCTTCCCCGCTCGCCTCTCCGGTTCCCCTTCCCGGGGAATTCCTCTTTCTTTCCGCGGTCCTCTTTCTGTCTGGGGGGAGCTTTGCTCCAGCTTTTGACTTGGTACAGCGGTGTCTCCCACCAATCACGGCTGGAACACTCCGGCCGGAGCAGCACCGCAGTCCTCCAGCAAAGCCCAACCGGGGCCGCCCCAGTGCCTCTCGGTGCGGGGTCCCTTCGGGTCGCATCTGCAGGAGAGGCAGAACTGAGAAGACAGAGCCCCCCGGCACGCTGATATCCCCCTTTGGGATATCAGTGATCCGGAACCCCAGGAAATGCGGAGTGATTCCCAAAACGGCCCCCGACGATGGGATGTGGGGTCCCCCATGGGTGTGAGCTCCCCCCCTCCCCCCCCGCGGCAGTGCAGGCTCCAGTTCCCTTCGTTCACGGTGTCCGTTCCGGGGCTGTGAGTGGGGCCCGGCTGCAGAGAGAGCTGTGGGAGGAAGAGGAGGAAGAGGAGGGCAGAGCAGAGATGCGGTGGGAACCCCGCAGGGCCCTTTCTGCCGGGTCCATCCCCTCACCAGCGGCTCTCATGACTCAGCAGTTCATCACCAGTAATTTACAGTAATTTCAAAGTGGGAACCGGTTCCGGGGTGGATCTGGGGAAGAACAGGGGGCTGAGGACTGTGCAGGGTCTCTGGGTGCTGGCAGCAGTGGGGGGATGGCTCAGGGCTGAGCGCACTCCGGCTATACGCGCGGCCCTTTGGGTGCAGGCGTTGTTCAGAGCACTCAGTTGGGCACCGGGGAGCGCCGGGGCCGTGCATTGCACCACGAAAAGCACTGGGGCTTCTTCGTTCCTCACGATGTGGGGATGGGGACGGCGGCTGCCGTGCGGGGCTCCAATGGGGCCGCGGCTCCCAGGCACACGGCACGGCCGAGGCCGGATCTTAAAGACCTTGGGTTGGTTTTTCTCTTTGGTTATCTAGCTGTATGAGTGTATGTGATATCATAAAGCTAGAGAACCGAATGTAAAAACCCGCTCGCTATTCTCCGGGTAAATCCCTGCCCTCCACTGTGGCACCTTCGCAGGGAGAGCGGAGCCGAGCGCGCGGCGGCGGCGGAGTGGGCATTCCGCAGGGTTTTGTCTTTAATCATTTTTATGGAGGCCCAGAGCCACTGACCGTGCCTGGGTGATTATTTCTACTCAAACCTGGTGCTCCTCAGGCTAGCATCAAACCTGGCACCGCTTCTTTTATTATTATTATTTCATTTTTTTTCCGCAGCGGTTTTAATTTCCACATCGACAATTAAGCTCAGTGGTACCCGGTGTACTGGAGATAAATGAAATGGGGCCAGCTCAGCAATAACCCCCAGAGAAACCCTGTTTGTAACGAAGTAGAAAGAAAGTTGCTTAAAAATATTACCGCATGCAAATTGTAATTTAGTGCAAACCCGTTTCCGAAGCCGGTTTATCTACCGGGGAAGGGAAATAAATCATCTCTGCTCGTCAGTTATTCTGTGCCTGCAGAGATGGAGCAGCTTTGTTCTGCGAGGTGGGTTTGGGGGCCTCTCTCTGGCCTCCCCTCCGGCGCTGGTGTTTGTGCACTGAGCTCCATCCCTCTCAGTTCTTTGGGCAGAGCTCTGCTGATGGACATGGCTGCAGGCATGGAACTGCAATGGGTCGTGGCACGTGCTGATGCCCGTGGGAGGTGGGCACGGCACGGGGCGGTGGTTCTGGGGGCAGCTCCATGGCCTGCTCTGCTGCTTGGTGCATCTCCTCCCCAGCAGAGAGGAGGGAAGGGAAGAGCATCGGCTCCTGATGCCAAAACTGCAACCCGCCATGCCTGCTCTGTGGGCTCTCCCTGCCCAGTTCATCCCGACTGCAGTTTTGCTTCTGCATGCGATCGCACCTCCTCTTACCACTGATGTTGCTGGGATCTGCAGGGAGATGGGAGCAGGGAGAATATTGGACTGTGAGATGAAGGGGTGCATCTTTCTGCTCCTTGGTAGCTCTTTTGCTTTGTTTGGTTGGCAAGAGGGGCAGGGGGCTTGTGCTTGTGCTGCAACCATCCTTCTCCAGCATGTAGGGATGCCACAGG